GAAAGCTTGAACGTTGATTGAAACACTGAACCTTGTTTGCAATATTGAATATTGTTTAAAAAGCCTGAATGTTGATTGAAATGGTAAACATTGAAAGCTTGAACGTTGATTGAAACACTGAACCTTGTTTGCAATATTGAATATCGTTTAAAAAGCCTGAATGTTGATTGAAATGGTAAACATTGAAAGCTTGAACGTTGATTGAAACACTGAACCTTGTTTGCAATATTGAATATCGTTTAAAAGCCTGAATGTTGATTGAAATGATGAATATTGAAAGCTTGAACGTTGATTGAAACACTGAACCTTGTTTGCAATATTGAATATCGTTTAAAAGCCTGAATGTTGATTGAAATGGTAAACATTGAAAGCTTGAACGTTGATTGAAACACTGAACCTTGTTTGCAATATTGAATATTGTTTAAAAGCCTGAATGTTGATTGAAATGGTAAACATTGAAAGCTTGAACGTTGATTGAAACACTGAACCTTGTTTGCAATATTGAATATTGTTTAAAAGCCTGAATGTTGATTGAAATGGTAAACATTGAAAGCTTGAACGTTGATTGAAACACTGAACCTTGTTTGCAATATTGAATATCGTTTAAAAGCCTGAATGTTGATTGAAATGGTAAACATTGAAAGCTTGAACGTTGATTGAAACACTGAACCTTGTTTGCAATATTGAATATTGTTTAAAAAGCCTGAATGTTGATTGAAATGGTAAACATTGAAAGCTTGAACGTTGATTGAAACACTGAACCTTGTTTGCAATATTGAATATCGTTTAAAGCCTGAATGTTGATTGAAATGGTAAACATTGAAAGCTTGAACGTTGATTGAAAACACTGAACCTTGTTTGCAATATTGAATATCGTTTAAAAGCCTGAATGTTGATTGAAATGGTAAACATTGAAAGTTTGAACGTTGATTGAAACACTGAACCTTGTTTGCAATATTGAATATTGTTTAAAAGCCTGAATGTTGATTGAAATGGTAAACATTGAAAGCTTGAACGTTGATTGAAACACTGAACCTTGTTTGCAATATTGAATATCGTTTAAAAGCCTGAATGTTGATTGAAATGGTAAACATTGAAAGCTTGAACGTTGATTGAAACACTGAACCTTGTTTGCAATATTGAATATCGTTTAAAAGCCTGAATGTTGATTGAAATGATGAATATTGAAAGCTTGAACGTTGATTGAAACACTGAACCTTGTTTGCAATATTGAATATCGTTTAAAAGCCTGAATGTTGATTGAAATGGTAAACATTGAAAGCTTGAACGTTGATTGAAACACTGAACCTTGTTTGCAATATTGAATATCGTTTAAAAGCCTGAATGTTGATTGAAATGGTAAACATTGAAAGCTTGAACGTTGATTGAAACACTGAACCTTGTTTGCAATATTGAATATCGTTTAAAAGCCTGAATGTTGATTGAAATGATGAATATTGAAAGCTTGAACGTTGATTGAAACACTGAACCTTGTTTGCAATATTGAATATTGTTTAAAAGCCTGAATGTTGATTGAAATGGTAAACATTGAAAGCTTGAACGTTGATTGAAACACTGAACCTTGTTTGCAATATTGAATATTGTTTAAAAGCCTGAATGTTGATTGAAATGGTAAACATTGAAAGCTTGAACGTTGATTGAAACACTGAACCTTGTTTGCAATATGAATATCGTTTAAAAGCCTGAATGTTGATTGAAATGGTAAACATTGAAAGCTTGAACGTTGATTGAAACACTGAACCTTGTTTGCAATATTGAATATCGTTTAAAAGCCTGAATGTTGATTGAAATGGTAAACATTGAAAGCTTGAACGTTGATTGAAACACTGAACCTTGTTTGCAATATTGAATATTGTTTAAAAGCCTGAATGTTGATTGAAATGGTAAACATTGAAAGCTTGAACGTTGATTGAAACACTGAACCTTGTTTGCAATATTGAATATCGTTTAAAAGCCTGAATGTTGATTGAAATGGTAAACATTGAAAGCTTTGAACGTTGATTGAAACACTGAACCTTGTTTGCAATATTGAATATCGTTTAAAAGCCTGAATGTTGATTGAAATGGTAAACATTGAAAGCTTGAACGTTGATTGAAACACTGAACCTTGTTTGCAATATTGAATATCGTTTAAAAAGCCTGAATGTTGATTGAAATGATGAATATTGAAAGCTTGAACGTTGATTGAAACACTGAACCTTGTTTGCAATATTGAATATTGTTTAAAAGCCTGAATGTTGATTGAAATGGTAAACATTGAAAGCTTGAACGTTGATTGAAATATTGAACCTTCTTTGAAATGTTGAATATTGTTTGAAAGTCTAAACGTTGATTGAAACGGCGAACTTTGTTTAAAAACTTGAATGTTGATTGAAACTTTGAACCTTGTTTGAAATGCTGACTATTGTCTGAAAGCTTAAATGCTGATTGAAACGTTTAGTATTTTTTAAAAGCCTGAATGTTGATTGAAATAGTGAACATTGAAAGCTTGAACGTTGATTGAAACACTGAACCTTGTTTGTAATATTGAATATCGTTTAAAAGCCTGAATGTTGATTGAAATGGTAAACATTGAAAGCTTGAACGTTGATTGAAACGTTTGAATGTTGTTTGAATAATTTAATTTTGTTTAAAACATATTTGAAATGTTGAATGTTTGAAGTGACCTTTGAAACTTTCAGTCATGGCTCTTTTCCTTCCATAATAAACCATATATTGGGGAATGCCGTTCTTGGTTTACGTCGAAACCACATTTTTGAGATCATCTTAAATAAAAGCTTTGACTTTTCCATTCCTTCACCTTTTCTACTCCTCTTGCTCTTCCCGACAGTGGAACTCCCTTCCTCCTACTCGCTTCCCCGATACCTACTATCTTAAAAAATTTAAATGTAACGTCAATCGTCATCTTCTGATGCCTTGCACCCCCCGTCTCTTTTTTACCCTTTCCTCAACCCCTTCTATACAAAATCTTTTCACTTATTTCACTCTCTGTAGCCCAACCCCTCTGCGTACTAGTAGCACACATTCCTTGTTTGGCGTGAAATTCTTAAAAAGAATTTTATTTAAAAATACGTTCAGATAGCTTCTTGGGGGATGGATTTTTCGTTTTTCCTTTTTATCGACAAAGGTTTTGGACGTTAAAGTTCATTACCTGTCTATATTTCTAAGTCTTTTCTCTTATCTTCACTCTGCGTGACCCCTTCCTTACTAACGACACCCCTGCCCTGCCTGGGGTGAAGTGCTTAAAAAAATTTGTTTGAGCTCTCATTTCAAATTCATAAGTGGAGATACCAACCATGATGCATGTTGTAGCTGATTTTGTTTTATCATTTCATCCCCAAGTAAGGTAATAAAGCCACTAAGAGGCAAGAGGTTACTGAATGTGAAAGAATATGAAAAAAAAATTATATAGGAGAGAGAGAGATACAGAGCGATAAAAGAGAAGGAATTAAGAAGACATAAAATAACGAGTGACACTAAATTTTCTAAGGTCAAAGTTGAATGGAAAGTAAGAAAGCGTACTGTCTGATCATCCGTTTCAAATTTTAAAATGGCGTCACCAAGTCATCGTAGCTGACTTATTCCACATTCCAAATAACCATTGATAAAACGCCTAATGCAACATGAAAATATCAGAGACTATGTGATAAAGGGAATAGAAAAAAAAAACACTGAATGGTTAATCATGTAGCAAAAAACAGAATAAAATTCAATAAATATTGCGTCCCATGTGGGCAGGAGAAAACGTAGTTAGATCCAGAGTGACGCAGGTTCAAATCCTGCCGAGAACGTTTTTCATTAATAAGATTTCTCGAATATTCAGGCCGGTAGCCGAAAATAAGTAAATACATTGTTTAATAAAATAAACGGAGCGTCTACTCAAATACGGGTATACACTAAAAATAACGTTTAATTAATAAAAATATATTGGATAAATAAATTTCCATCAGAAATATGCCATATTGAAATATGGTTGAAGGTTACATTTGAATTCGAATGAACCCTGTTTGACTGTATAGTAACGATGAAACATGCAACAGACCGAGAAGTAGAATATCTTTATATATATATATATATATATATATATATATATATATATATATAGGTGCGATTAATAAATTCTTGTCCAAATTACGCAAAAATGAAAATAACGCTGGCATCACATTTTAAAAGATATATTTCCCAAAATTACACAAAAATATCTTGAAATATGCTTTCAGTTCACCTTTTGTGTCACAGAGAGTTTTGTTGGCCTCTCGCACAAGTTCACCCCACACATAATAATCTGGGGTGGGGTGCAGTCTGAGCAGTCTATTGGAGATTCCGGCGCGAATGGCACGCGGTACAACATGCCGTTTCTAAAGTTCCGACGGAATGAATTGCATCATGGTCATCTTTTTTCTCATAGACGGTGCCCAATTGACCCTGTTATACTGTGCCTTCGACAAAATCGGTGGACTTCTCATGTCTTGAGAATGTCTGATGACAGGATACCCAAAATCTTAATATACAACCAGTTAGATCACTGCTACAAGAATGTAGGACGCCCACGGCTAAGATACAAAGACAAGCTGAAGAGCAACTTGTCAGCTGTCAATATAACGTCATAACACCCTCGAGGCCTTAGCCTCGGAGCAGGTAGAATGGAGATCAACGTGTTTTAGTCGACAGCAGCTTGTCTGAATTGTCTTCAAGAAGCGAGGGCAAGGTCTAAAAGGTCAGCCAATCTAGCAGTGATCTCATCCCACAATCCTTACTCTTGCTCCATATGCGGCCTTCTTTTGTAAATCACTAGCGGGTCTTAAGTGCCAATTAAGATTATCGCACAAAGTTTCATAACTGAATCAATTAAGTTTTCAGATCCCCATACGTCGAAACAGACAGGAGAGTCCTTTATATATATATATATATATATATATATATATATATATATATATATATATATTTCATCTTTTCATCTTCTGGCTGGGTTGGAATTTTTATAATGCAAACTGCATACGTTTGAGAGAGAGAGAGAGAGAGAGAGAGAGAGAGAGAGAGAACTTATGGAGAACAAATTTATTTTGTAAATCTGAATTGTGAAAAGGGTGACAAAATGTTTTAAGTCATTATATATGCACCAGGTTCAGGGAGATGACGAATTATCGGGTATTCTCTTGGTACGAACAGTTCGGGTTGAATAAATGTTCGACTTCGAAAAACCGTGGGAGAAACTAAAGATAAAATTACAAAACGCTTCTAATTAGCCCGAATGACAGTCTGATTGTTTTTATTACTTAAAGGCTATTTGTAGTAGATGTCGATACTAGAGCAGACGCTCTGCATTTATTTTTAAACGGTATATTTGGTGGTCTGAATAATCCAGAAATCTTATTAAAGGAAAATATGCGCACTCCGGCAGGAATCGAACCTGTGTGTACCTTGATAGGAAAAATCGTTGTGCTTATACCAAATCTGCCAGTAATAGCATTGGCGAGAAAGTTATGCTGGCTAGTGCCTTTACGCGAAATCCTTCTCATCATAGATTCTGGCAATTTCATATTTGGTCAGTTTCGAATTCAAACGAAAACAAAACAATTTCTAAAGTAATGTATGGTTTTAGTTATTAATCCAACAGATTAAAATAAAAAATACAACGTGTAAATCGTCGGGATTAATGAATAAAAATATCCTCTACTTCTTGATAGATAGATAGATAGATAGATAGATAGATAGATATGAATAGAATGATATAGATAGATATGAACAGAATGAGATAGATATGAACAAAATAAGAGATAGATAGATAGATAGATAGATAGATAGGAACAGAATGAAACAGATAGATAGATAGATGGATAGATAGATGGATAGATAGATAGATAGATAGATAGATAGATAGATAGATAGATAGATCTGAACAGAATGATATAGATATATAGATCGATATGAACAGAATGAGATAGATATGAACGGAATGTGATAGATAGATAGATAGTAATAAAGACGGAGATAGATAGATAGATAGATAGATAGATAGATAGATAGATAGATAGATAGATATGAACAGAATGATATAAATAGATAGATATGGACAGAATTAGATAGATAGATAGATAGATAGATAGATAGATAGATAGATAGATAGATGTGAATAGATAATGAGACGATAGATAGATAGATAGATGATAGATAGATAGATAGGATTAGATATGAATGAATATGAACAGAATGATATAAATGGATAGATAGATATGGACAGAATTAGATAGATAGATAGATGGATAGATAGATAGATAGATGAATATGTGAATAGAATGAGATAGATATGAACACCGCAGGAAGTGGAGGCCGTGTATGGATTGAAACCGAATCTAATCATGTACAGCCTATACGCATCAAAGGGAATAACTCAATGCGAGTTTGTGTAACAACGAACAGCTAATTGGAGTATGGGAAACAAAAACGATATTGATTGTCGTGATAGAAATGTTATCTTTCCTCATTGCCACAAAACATGAGAAATAATAATTAGGAACTAAAACATTATGCATAACAACACATTTTCAAAAACAGCATTTACATATATATATATATATATATATATATATATATATATATATATATATATATATATATATTGATGCATGTGTCATTAAATAATATAGGCAAGTGTTGTCTATTTATTATATATATATATATAGTCGACTCTCCCGTCGAATTCAAACGTATGAGGGTCAAGCAGATCAGTTCCCAGGAAGCCGACAGCCCGACAACGGCACATGAGATTTGATTATAGTGGTGAAGGTTTCGTGCAGGACCAGCCACACCTTTTGAAGCGCTGAATTCAGAGACCTGGTGCACTAAGTGACACAAGGTTCCCAAACGACCCTCTGCAGGTTTTGAATTCAGAGTTGTCCTTCTCATAGACCAGTTGCCATCCAAGGCTATAGAACCCAGTCTGTCCTGTCGAGTTCCATATATATATATATATATATATATATATATATATATATATATATATATATATATATGAGAGAGACGGAAAAATAGGGAGCTGATTGCATATATATATTAACTCTCCATTTGAATGATAATTCCAACATTTTTAGACATTTAAAACAACATGCCTGGCCACATACAGAATTCCGGAAAAAAACAATAAGCAAAAACTAAAAATTCTTGAAGCTATTTACAAAAAACAGTTGAAACGTAACCTGAACAAAATAATCTATGAAAACTCCACAAATATACTTAAATGTTTATAGTTGATAAGAGGAGCTATTGGTTTATACCAAACGGCTTTCCATACTTAACACTTTTCTTCATTTTCACTCTCACGTGGTCATGTGAGATGTCATGAACCGCAATGCGATATTTGCTTCCTGCGTTTCATATGCACGATTTTATCGTTGCGTAGCAACCTCTCATGCAAACAAAAGAAACTATCATTGTTGCAATGTCCGCATGACCAATCTAAAACAAAAATTACCATCTTTGTTATTTAATTTTTTATTTAATTTATTGTAATGTACTTGTAATCTCTGATGATGGCTTATGTAAGCCGAAAGCTTAGACAGGATTAACAATAAAAACATGTATTAACATGGTGATTTTCTTTCGTGTTTCAGTGATAATGCCTAAAATCTTATTCGACAATATGAAAGAATTTACTTAAAATAATTAGACAAAAAATTCTCTATATTAATTAACGAAACATGCATTATATATATATATATATATATATATATATATATATATATATATATATATATATATATATAGATAGATAGATAGATAGATAGATAGATAGAGAGAGAGAGAGAGAGAATTATTTATATCGGTTTCCATACGATCAGCGAAGCAACATCGAGTCTGGTCAGTACCTAGATGGGTTTCCGCTTGGAAATGCCGCGTGCTGTAAGCATGGACGTGCGGCTAGTGTAATGGATAGTGACTCGGAATTGTTAATCGGAGAGTCGAGTTCAAATTCCCGTTGTGCTCGTTATATGCATATGTGTCCGCCTTCCCCACCCCACCGACCTAGCGATGTGGTAATTAATAAGACTTATCACTAAACCATTATTATCTCACCCCCGCAAAAAATCCTACAATCTAAGATCATTTTCTGCAAAATGTTGATAAAAAACGACTCAATAAATCAAGAGAAATTCAAGTGAGTTATCTGATTAGCCGACTTAAGGGTTTCACGTCAAAATACACCTCAGAGCCAGATGTTACATAAATCTGTTGAACTTATTAGCAAATGTCCTATTTATACTAACGGCCGAACGGTAAGTCTAATTTTCAAGTTTCCAAGTTTAAATTATTGTGATATATAATACTAACATATACATATAAGTTTTATTATATATATATATATATATATATATATATATATATATATATATATATATATATCTGTATGTATGTATATATAGTGTGTGTGTGTGTCATTATTGAAAATTTCATATAATATACGAACATATCGATTATATATATTAATAGGGGTTAAACAGGAATTTGTATTTTCTCGGGGAGTATAATTTCTACATAGAAATTGAACAACAACAGCAACATTGCTCAGAAGAGTAAGTCCTACTTTTTTCACTATTCCTTGTATCGTTGAAAAAGAAGGCAGACGTGTCCGAAAATTCCGACTTTAAAATCTTTCTCTTCGAGCTTCAGTTTAGTCAAAAGTTAGTTTAATATAGTTATAATAAATGTCATCAATTTTATTGCTAATTATCAATTTTTTTTTTTTTTTTTTTGGCATCTTCCTCAAATTTGATTAACCGGCTTATTAAATTTATATATTATACGAAACACACGTCGACCATCTTTCCTTTTTATTCAAATATATATATATATATATATATATATATATATATATATATATATATATATAGAGAGAGAGAGAGAGAGAGAGAGAGAGAAAGACGGGGAGGGAACCTCTTCTGTGTCTCTGTTTCTAAAGAAAATATTTAACCCGTTCATGAAATTTCCATGATTATTGGTAATGATTTCATGCAATTTTGAAAATTTATGTATCATATAATGCATAATATTCAAACATATCGATTATATATATATATATATATATATATATATATATATATATATATATATATATATATATATATATATATATCGATTATATATATATATATATATATATATATATATATATATACATACAGAGGATAGATAGATAGATAGATAGATAGATAGATAGATAGATAGTAAAGAGACAGACAGATCTTTCGTTAAATATGACAGACAAGAAAAATTTAATTAATTTCTTTTTTAGCTTTTCCAGCGTTCGCACATGTTTCCATTTCGTGAGATTAAAGGAATGCACAAATTGTTCGTATTGTCTTAGTGTCCTAACCAATTTAGGTCACTTCTTTAAGTCATTTTCAAGTGGTTTGTTTCGGTTTTGCTAATTTCTCTTCAGGTTTGGACTGTTCAAGAGGCTGTCACAATAGATAATATGGACAATTTCTGAACTTCTTTACTCCCAATGTAAAAAACGCTGGAAAAACTAAAAAAAAATCATTCAGATTTTCCTTATCTATCATATTTAACGAAAGATGTTTAAAAAGAAAGGTTGCTGCACAAATATATATATATATATATATATATATATATATATATATATATATATATATATATATATTTATAAAAAAAAAATGACAATAGGAAAACTGGTAATTGCTAACGCGATTCGTCCAATGTGGACTTTATCAAAGCAAAATACGAAAATATTTTCGTAATTTGCTTTGATAAAATCCACATTGAACATAACACGTCAACAATTACCAGTTTTTTTATTGTCATTTTTTATTCATAAATATTGTCTTCTCTACTGGTTAAATCAGAGAAATTTTCATATATATATATATATATATATATATATATATATATATATATATATATATATATATATATCTCTCTCTCTCTATATATATATATATATATATATATATATATATATATATATACAGAGAGAGAGAGAAAAAAGATATATATATATATATATATATATATATAAAGAAAAAGAGGAAGATGGGGAGTGACCCTTTTCCTTGTCTCAATTTCTAATGAGAATACTTAACACGTTCATGAAATTGCGACAATTTTTGCTTATAATTTAAAATAATTTTCTTTAATTGATTAACTTTCTATGTGACGTGTAATATATTTACAGAATAAATTCTTTTTTCTAGCACTGAATTTAAATATTAACAGTTAAAATATAAGGAAATCAATAATAATAAAAGTCTAAATTGGAACAATCAATATCTCTGGCATCGATTCACACGGGTAGGTACAAGGCAGAAATGAATTGCATGCAAGGTAAAATTTAATTTCATGACGATCTTGTTATTTAACTCATTAAGACCCACCGTAAAATACAGTATTAATAAATGTTTTTAATAATTTCCCCCAAGCAAGGCAATAAAGCCGCTAACACGCATGGTTATACGAATATAAGAAAAACATTATTAAGGAGAGAGAACAATAAAAGAACAGGATTTAATAGGACACAAGTTAACGATTGAAGATCAAACTTGACTGGAACGCAAAAAGCCCGAAAGAGAAATTTTATCATAGAAGTAACAGTTACATTCAGCCATTTCGGCTATAAAATGACGATTGCCAGCAATCTCGTAATACGCCTAAATCCATAGTCCGGGTACTATAGATGAAGGTTCATCAGAGCATTTACCATGCAAGTGTTTATAGAAAAGTCATAGGGAAACTACATTACGGGGGGGGGGGCTGGAATCGAGGTGCCAGGTCAGGAGCAATAACATTGCAGATTGTTCTTTGGATTTCATCAAGAATCTTTAAATATACAACAGAAGCATCAGACCATATTTGGCAACAATATTTTAAGCATGGACGAATGGTAGCCTTGTTGATATGTACGATAGATTCTGGAGAGCAAACAATTTCTACTACGACACAGTGAATCAATTTCCCTGTGTAGCAGACCAAGAAATTAAACCAATATGATCTTTCCACTTCATGCCAATGGAAAACGTTAGCCCGGGAAGGTGCAACAAGTCACTCTCCTGAAGGCTGACCGGAAGGTAAAAAGGGTTCTTTCAGACGATTAATAGGGAGCATTTTTATTTTGGAGACGCTATAAAATATTATTGTATTACTTACAGTTAATGAACAAAGAAGGTTTGGAAAATTGGATAATCACAAGACGTTGAAAGCAAGTGGGATAGAGGAAAGTAAAGCCTACCTAACGTGCTTGTGTGAGGGTTGGTGGAACAGGGTTTAGGAAAATTCAATCAAGAGCTACAAAAGACAGGGACATTGTGAAGAGCTCTGATAGATGGTTAATCATAGGTATGTAAATGGATTGTACAAGAAGTCATAGCAATTCGCGAATTATAGAGATAAATCATATTTGTAGAGCCATGACCTGATGAAACTTAGTACTGAAAATGGATGACGATTTCACTAAATTAAAGCAACGTTAGCCCAGGTGAAGGACTTCGCGTTCTAATATAAATATGGTTTTATGGAATTGCTAAATTCGTACGTATTTACCTACGCCTTCTATTAAATATTTTTTCAAGATTTTTTTTTCCCACGAGAAGATTTTTTTTTTCATTTTGG